TTTGAATGAAATGAATGCAAGCTCAGTTTATTCATACCATGTGGTTTCATCCTTCGAAACAACCTTAAAAACTGTCCGAGAAATAGGCTACAAAAAGAGAAGTTGGACACCCTGATAGGGATTTCAGCTGAAGGATCACCATTGGAAGAGTTCCCTTTTGAACATGCTTAAATGAAATGGAAGGTAGAGAAATCATGAATAATTTTTTCCACACCAGTCGAGGACCATGAGGAACTTTTTCTCCTAATGTTCATACAGGCCCCCTATTTATCAGCAGAGGGGGGCATGGGACTTGCCAAGGCAAAATTCTGGTGAGAATACTGAGTAAGGGACAAAAGAGTAACGAACAAGAATTTGGATTCTCACTCCCCACTTCCCCTTCCCACCCCCCCATTCTCTCTCGAAGCCCTCACTTGTGCTTTGAAAATTAAAGATCAGGAGGTGGGTAAGCAGAGAGATCCAAATTCATTGCAGTGACAAAGTCACTTCAAGTGAGTTAATTTGAGGAGATATGTCATGTACCACTTACCCTTAGAAAAATCCTAAAATATATTAAGTAGATGAGAAAATACCTTTTAAATCTATCCTCAACTCTCATCATCCTAGCTGCTAGATGGCAATGAAAATTTGTGACTACAAGAAGCTGATGGAGGAAAAAAAAGAATATCAAATGTTTAATAACTGCACTATGACAGGCATTGTATGATTAGAATTTGTAAGTCCTAAACTACAAGTAGTCCCTCCTTTTCAGCAAAGTCCATCTCACAAGTCAAAAAAGTATATAGTGACAAAAAAATTTAATATATGTAGGCACATATAGCACAGGTTAAGGTGCACAAAAAGCTTCACCCAGAGTTCCACCCTGCAAGCTGTTCGCATTTTTTGTCTTTTCTTTTTTTTTGGACTTTGCTGGAAAGGAGGGACTGCTTGTAGTCTAAGTTTGCAAATCCATGTGCACATACATTAGCAATAACACATGTACATCATTCATATTTTAGCAAACACCTCACCTGACAAGCAACTTTGATGAACTGTGTTAGAAAGTATACAGCAGTAACAGCCAGGTAAAACCAGTTAAAGCCACTAAAACAGAGATATAACATGTTCTATTAGACAGAACATTTATACCAGCTAATCAGACATATTATAGTCTCTGATTTACAGCTAGAGAATACATACTGTGTAGCATGTTACAAATACGATCAGTAAAAGATCACAAATCATGTCAAAATTTGGTTTGGCCATTCTTTTGTTATTTTATCAATTAATCACTTTCAACCTGGAATCAACCATTCTTACCAAAGAAAGCATTCCACAATCCCACTGTAAAATACAATATACTGATTTGGCAAGGAATGGCGATGAGAGTGGAGCTTATGAAGCTATATTATAAAAAAAAAATTGATGAAATTATAATTAAATAATTCATCATTTCTTTTATTAAAGTTATCACTAGTAATTAATTCAACAACAAATAAATTAGCTTGGGTTTAGATTCCCTAAGGTATGCTTAAAGTATACCAAGAAAATATAATGTTAATATCCAGAAATTAGTGGGAAGAGAAAATTGTGTCCAGGCAAGCAGATGTTATAGAAAAGAGCACCATTAAAAAGTGCTAAAAATGACTGCAGAATGTTAGGCTCGTCTACCTGGATGTGAGGTAAAACTACATCAGAAAGGACTTTCCAGTTGCAACTAACAATTAAGAGCTGCTTCCTACCTTTCACCTTATCACATTTTCAATACCAACTGCCAAAAATATTTACACTGACAAAATATAAAGTATAAATAAAAACCTATCCATTAAAATTACCCTCACAACACAGACAATGCAGGTGATGATGGCCAGTATTGTTAAACTGGTGTCCCTAAAAGTACGAAATGGGTAAATGTGTCAGTTTGAGGTCTCCACATTTTACTATAAAAATATACATGGAATACAAAATTATTCAGGACCAGTACCTTACACATGAAGTAGTACTGAACGTCTTGAAACATCCAGTGTAAGCCAGGGAATGTATCACAGATTCATTTCTACTTGACATGATTGGAATATTTCAACACTGCCTTCCTGTAAGTAATAGAAATTTATCTATATATATGATGGTAATTGAGCTGAGACCAGTGCAATTTTGGCTAAAATCATCTGCTTTGTGTAGGTAATCACATGATTTCAAGTGCAATTTGGAATAAATAAGCACAAGTGCTTGTTTATTCCAAATTGCATGAGAAAAATCACGTGATTACTTGTTAATAATATACATGGAAAAATATGAGATGGCTGATCATAATTAAGCATAAGCAAAGCACACACATCAAGTGCAAAAATTATTTATTCAAACCATGCATTCGGTCAAAACAACCACATACCATCAAAACAATAATATGCAATGATATCTTCACATCTTTAAGGTGCAAAAGAGTTCAAAGTCTGGCTTAACAGTTCAAGGAATCGTTTAGTCTGTGTCTGAATCACTTTTGATAAAATGGAATCATCGTTTCTGAGGTTTAACCATGTTTGCTTTTAATTTCAGCATTGGATCACTCAAGCATAGTGTTAAGCTGGGTCGGCTTGTAATTTTTCGATTTCCTTGGCAATTCCCTTCTCTAAACACCACTTTTTCCAAATCAACAACCAAAAAGCAGTGCTTTTTACAGTGTTTTCATTGTTTAAGCTGCTTTTCAGCTGTGGTGGTGAAAGAAAACCTACTTAAAACACTGGCCATCGTTTCGCTCGCAAATTTTCTAATTTTCAAATTTTGTTATGACATCCAAGGCTCGCATTTGATTGGCTATCTGTGAGTTTCTTTGATTATTGACCAATCAGAATGTCTGATTTGTTACTTTCTTTGCACTGAATTAACCCTCTTCTGCACTGTATTAACCCTCTTCTGCACTGAATTAACTCTCTTCTGCACTGAATTAACCCTCTTCTGCACTGAATTAACTCTCTTCTGCACTGAATTACCTGAAAACTGCATTTATCTTAACCAATCAAAACTGAGTAATTTTTCCATGTGTATTATTAATTTCAAAATTGAATGAACACGTAGTATCAGTTTGCTTTTAAATCACAAGTATAATATCAGACCACAATTGCATGACACAAAGTTCAACTACCACAAAATCAATACATCCATTTTGAAAATACAAAATTTAATCACCCAATTTATTGTTACCCTTTGACCCTAACATCAGTATGCATATTCTCCACACCACTCTTTATGCATTTCCTAATTTCCTGACAAGAAGAATTTGCTTGCTTATCCAAAGGTTCCTTCCCTAGTGACCATTTCCTTTATTCTCATTACCTTAATGTGTGATTCAGAAGAGATATTGTAGGGAGAAATTAGATGCATTTTAAGGGTTAATCTAGTATTGAGCCACTTTGTGAAAAAAAAAATAACAGCAGAACTGGAAAAAGAAAAAAGAAGTTTTCGGGACAAAAGTTGAAAAAATTTGCCACACAAATTAATGATTCAATTGAGTGCCTTCCTCTTAAGAAGCAACCCCTCTCTAAAAAGCACCATTCTCACATTTTTTCGGTCATTAAGCACCCTTATTCTAACAAGCACCCCTACTGAGTAAGCATCCTCATTCCAATAGGCACCCCTATAACAATAAGTACCCTGTACCTAATAAGTGCCTGATTTAGAATAAGCCCCCTCCCTTGAGGTACCTAACATAAATAAGAACCCTGGGCACAAAATCAAATCTTTTGAGTATCTGTCTCTCCATCACCTCACATGAAAGAAAACAAAAACAAAAACAAAAAATTCCCATAAAGCTAGTTAATCAATCAATATTAATTAATTTACCAATAAAGCAAAAAATAGTGCAATTCATTCATAAATTTCACTGCTGAGAGCCGATCAGATTGTAAGGATCACCAGTGATTCCAAAATGGATGTAATAAAAAACCACATTGTTCAGACTTATCAACCTTAGGTCATTTTGTCCAGGTCAACAGTACCCATGTGCATTGTTGCAAATGATATAATAAAATGCAAATTAAATGTAGTATAAATCTACTTCAAGACTAAGTTGACTCAGGCGTGGTGAGAATTCACCCTCCTCAAGCCCTGAACAATTCTCTGACAATAATAATCCTCTTGATTTTAAGTCAATAAATTTTATGCCCAATGAGGGGACCAACTTGTAATGACACTAGAGAAAACCTCAAAACAGGCAACTACAAGTTTTCACTTGAGCCAAAGAATTAAACGTTTTCATTTTCTGAGTGCAAAGCAGAGCAGATCAAAGTCGAATAAGGCCCGATTTGTCTTTTATTAGTTGCTTTTTATAATCCATACGAAATTAATTCAGCTTCAGAGCTTTACACATCTTTCTTTTTACGTGAAACAACATCCTCGGGTCAAATACATTCAGGAGCATTGTATAATCAGTCAAAGCTTTCAAATGTAACTTTGTCGAGGAGTCAAATCAGGTCAAATGATATTCACAATTCTGTCCTCAATGTTCTCATGCGCGACGTGATTAGAAATAATAATGAGGATTAACTGTTGAAGAAAACTATTTTCCTTCGACATCCCTGAAAATATTAAGCACCTACATTTGAAATACCTTATTTGTGATACATAGTAGCAGTCACAGAGGCCAAAATCTTTCATAAAAACACCAGGAAACAGCTCGACGTGTGAGTTTGATGCCGCGCGATTTCAAGCCCCCGCAGACAAACCCACAGAAACGACTACACAGACAACAACAAACAGATCCTTACCAGGGTAGGGAGAGGTGAATAAGCTGTTTACATTTTCATGGAATCCTTTCAAGAAAAAATTCACTTACCTGACAAAGTTTTATTTCAAAAGTGAAAAAATACTCTAGCAAGTATTTCCTTTGGTGCTCTAAATCATTCCAGGAACTATTGTTCTTGACATCTCGGCTTTCCCTAGGGGAGGCTACTTGGTACTACTCTTTATTTACAAGCAAAATGTGCCAGGTCACTAAGGGACATTTTCAAAAAATATTAATGGTACTGGCGTGAGCGTGAGGAGGAAATTTATTATTATTATTATTCTTCGAATATGACACGACGAAACGATATATTCCATCTAGATTTTAACCAAGACCAAGGTGAATTTTTACTATCTGAATTTCTCAGTGATTTCTGTCTTGAGAACGACGGATTCACGAAATATCCGCTAATCTTCACCACCGATGCTGTCTTGCGAAAATGCTTCGTAAGAAATCTCCTACTTACGTGCTCTTAAAATGGTTGGCAGAACCTTTCCTCGTGGAATAGGCTCTTGTGGTGATTTTCGAAAGTGGATAAAATAGGCTTTTGATGGAATGATAATGTTGACGAAACGAGTGAGTAAATTTGAAAATATGAGACACTGACTGTTATTATTGTTTACACCGATTTAGGTTGTTTTAGCTGTACCATGGATGGAGGGCTTAGAATTTATAATGTGGAGCCTCTGTCAGAAAAGGCTCGTATTGGTGAGTCAATCTATAACGTGGTAATTCTCATAACATCTATGTTTTTATTTCCACGTGTAAAATCATGTGTGATGGTGGTGATTTACTTAATATGTGAGAGGCTCGTGTGAAATAATGTCTGACGAAATCATCGAAGTGAAAAGAAAATACTATCTATGGCTCAAATATGTTACTGGCTGTATCTATAGAACAGAGATAAACTTGTAGCATATACGAATTTCTTTAGGGGCAAGTGCTGGTGTCATGTAAGGAAATAGAAATGAGTGAAAAAAAACACTGCCTTGTGATTTAAGTTAGCTAATTTGCGCACTTGTAGACATGTTTGTAAATAGTTTTTCGTTAAATTATCATTATTGTTGTGTTTGCAGATTTGAATGAGCCAGTCCAGATATCCCAGGCTCACATGTTACATAGATGTAACTTATTAGCCATTGTAGGAACAGGACCAGGAGCAAGATTTTTTAATGACAAAGGTATCATACGTACATGTAATATCGAATCAGACAGTAGCTGTTAGTGAGAGGGTTTCTTTTGAGATGCAAATTGTAAAGTGCAATGTCACCCTTGTTAGTGTTACATCCCACATTTTGTGAAGTTAAGCCTTCTGTGAGAGGAGTCTTGTAAGTGCCACAGTGCAATGGCAAAACTGTAAGGTAGTTATGACTGCAAGTCATGTCCCTCAATTTAAAAACGTCAAATTTAAAAAAAAATTTTAGACGCTGCATTTTGCTTTAGCACCAGCTTGCTTCATATATCCCATTAGACTCACTGAAAAAAAAACATTTCCAAAACAGATTTTTGTGCTGTATTGAAAATACAAGTTTGATAACACTAAAATATACATATGACAAGCAACCTCGAAAAGTAAATTTTCTGTTTCATTGATATTTAGTGTACATTTGGGATGACCTGTTAAAAAAGCTTGTGATGGAGCTCTCATTTGGTTGTCCAGTTGTAAGCATCAGGTTAAGAAGAGACAAGTAAGTTTTTGTGTTTACGTAGTGCATTACATAGAGTAGGAGGGTCTAAGGACAAAGATGGAGGAGATAGGGGAGGGATGAAAATGTCTGGCAACGCATGTGTACATGGAGAAAGTATTATCATTTACAGGGATTATCATCCTTACTATATTGATTGTGCTTTCTTAAGACAAGTGATCTGCCCTCTATAGATGTTAATTTTGTGGTGGTACAATTTATACCTTTCAGGCTTTTTGTAGTGCTGAAGACAAGGATTCAAGTATTTTCATTTCCTAAAGATCCAAATTTGCTGTTTTACTTTGACACAAAAGAAAATCCCAAAGGTACACTTTTTGTTATAATCACAAGAGACAGTTGCTCTTCAACAGTTTATTGCAAGCTTTTGGATAGCTATTTGAAATTGGGCTGTATTTGGCTGTATTTAATTTTGTTTTATGACTTTATCTCTCACACATTCCTAGGTCTCTGTGAAGTTTGTCCAAGTATTGACAGGCCCCTGTTGGTTTTTCCATCACGCAAATGTGGGAGTATACAACTTGTGGTATGATAAAAACTAGTTTTGCTTATCCTTAACTTGGTATAGCCATTTAAATATGTATACACCTGATTTTCAAAATGATGACTGGTTAATTTAGAAAGTTTGAGTTAATTCTACAGTCATGTGGGACACTGCCTGACTAGCCCAATAGTAGAGGGGTATTACTACAGGCTTTTTCATTTCTAATCATGTTATGGAAGGCTATCCATGACAATTATCTGTTTCGATTGTATTTTTAACATTTTTTTACGGTCCATTTCATGGTCACAGTCACCTTTTCCACCACCAGAAGTCACCTGTGAAAAGTTTATTGAAACTCTTGATGTTACATAAATTACTGTAGTTTCACACTGCACTAACATAATGTAACACTTTAAGCATGAATTAAATCTATGAGAATCCAATGTAAAGTACATGCTAATTGATCTGCTGAAACTAATACCCCATTCACACTAACAAACATGTGTAGTAAGACCAGATTTAACTTAATAAAAACCAGAAAGAGAGAACTGATAAACTGAACTTCCATAGGTTTTAAGTATTCTCTAACATGTATGTTCAATTTGCTAAATTTGAAGTAGACAAACATCAGTGTAAACAGCTTATAGGAAGAAACCAATTTAAAACCATGTGTAACAAAACAGCTTTAAAACATGTTTAACCTTTGGTGTAAATGGAGTCTAACTTAGACAAACTTAATTTTTCATAATTGAATAAAGCTACCAAACCCAAGTGAGTTTGTCCATTTACTTCCATCTATTATCTGTATTGAGTCTAAATTATAACTGAGTTTGCTCAAATTGTCAACTAATTTAGGTAAGTTACCACAATCACTTTTTTTTTTCATTCAAAAATTTACGTAGCTCAAGCTACTCCATGTTCTTTTTTTTGCTTCACAGGACCTGACCAATAGACAACCAGATACTTCAACAGCACCATTTACAATTAATGCCCATCAAGGTGAACTTGCATGTCTAGCTGTCAACCAACAAGGTACTCAAGTAGCCACAGCTTCAGTTAAGGTGTGTGACAATCTTTCCAGTCTCTCATTGTAGATTTGAAGATGTACTTGAAAGAAAACAAAGTAAAACTTCCTTATTAAAAATCTTCTTTAGTTGTAGCTTGCCATCACAAGAAATATGATTGATATGCAATTTAAATAGATCTGAAAATGAAAGTGGTACCTTTAAGCAGAAACTGGTGTGGAAAAGGGTTAGGGTTTTGAAGTCAAGGTCGAACATACCCACAAAATATTTTGGTCAAATAAGCAGACTAAATTGCATCCAATGCTAAAATCAAAAATTGTGTAAACCTATTAGTTAATTTTTTTTTCTTTTTTTTCTTTTTCCTCTTTTTGCAGGGCACACTTATCCGTGTGTTTGACTCACAAACCAAAAACTTACTGGTGGAATTACGACGAGGGGCAGATCCTGCCACTCTGTATTGGTTAGTGATTTCTTAAATGTGGTCTGTTATACAGTCATGTATTTTATCTTGAACATAAAATATTAAAAGAAAGCTGTGTTCTCTTGGCAGCATTAATTTCAGCCACGATTCTGCATATCTGTGTGTCTCCAGTGATAAAGGAACAGTTCATATCTTTGCTCTGAAGAACACTTCTTTGAACAAGAGATCAAGGTAATGGATATTGCCATAACCCTTTTCTCTACTAGTTACGGTCTGTTTTTCATGTTTTCATCAAATTATCGCATCAAGAACAAACTCAGAAGCATTGCGTTCAGGGATTTTTTTTCAAAGCAGTTTTAAGCACGAAACTTAAAGACGCGCACACAGCCAATCAAGAATAAGGAGTCATACCTTCTTGAAAACCAGATGTCTTGAATTTGTTTTAAAAAAAGCCTCCCTCTTTCTCAGCTATAACGGTAGTGTATTAGGACAGCGGTAGTTCGCAAATATATCCGGGAACTTAAAGTGTGTTGCGAGAGCGGGAAAGTAAGGAGTGATGTACTTCGTGTGCTTGGAATAAATTGTATGTTTTTGAGCTTTTAAGGCGTGCCTTTTTGGCTTCACTACGTTACAATAACTCAGTTAATTGTTCCCCATTTTTGATATGTGCACTCAGACACCATAGTTTGAAAGACATAAATTACATAAGTCATTTTGGATCAATGTTGGTGTCTGAGTAACTGCGCACCTACCCCTCCCTAACCCGAAAATAGTTTTGACCGACAACAAGTTAGGGTTAATGGGGAAGGGGTTGGTGAGTAGTTTTTCAGATACTGACATTGATCTGTGATCGTTTAGTTTTACTCAGTTTTCTGAATGGTCTGTTTCTTCGTCGATGTTGTGTTTTTTTCAGCCTCGCAAAGATGGGTTTCCTGGGGCAGTACGTGGAATCTCAGTGGGGTTTGGCAAACTTTACTGTGCCTGCTGAACAGCCATGTATCTGTGCCTTTGGGTCTGGCAGTTCTGTTGTTGGTGCGTATTGATAATCTCATTTAGGACTAAGATCCAGAATTTTAACGGCCTTATAGCCCCTTTTTTTCAGTAGCAAAAGGCACGCTACATAGATTGTGTCTTACACGCTAATTTAACAAGTTAACTCTAAGAATAATTGTAGTTTTGAGATTCAACATCATCAAAAGAGTTTCGTCGTACACTTCCCGTGAGCCTGAAAGATGGAGCGGGAAGTGGCGACTGCCGTAACTTTCCAATGGATCACTAAATGATGTATGCGTTTTTCTTTTTTTTCTTTTGAACCAGTCAAAACTTTAGTTAGGTTAACAAAGTATTTTGTAAAACTTTTAGGTTATGGCAACTACACGAACAACGACTAGCAATCATTATAATTTTTTTTCTACGATGTAGCTGTATGCGTAGATGGTACTTTTCACAAGTACGTGTTTACCCCAGACGGTAACTGTAACCGAGAGGCATATGACGTGTTTCTGGAGTTAGGCGATGACAACGAATTCTGAAATTCTGAGTGAACAATCTGGACGAGGGATCTGCTTCACAGACAACGATACAAACATCGTGTAAGGGCAAAGAAAGAGGAGCAGCTTTCATGACAAGGATAAGAAATTTCAGCCTGAAACGCTTAAGAACTTTGGACGTAACTTTGTTGTGGAGAACTTACAGAGCACAGTGCTTAGCGGGATCTGGAACTCGTGCAGAAGTTCTTCGGTGGCACCCTTGCCTCTCTCAGTGTAGTAACGATAGCTAATGGTTATGACAATATGAAAGGATTTGGTCTGAATTTAAGATATTTTGTATATTATGTAAGAGATATCAAAGCTCAACGTGAATGTAGAAATATCTCTACCTGCTGTACATAGACTGAATTAAAAGGGGTTGTGTATAAATCACGCGCTTTCCATTTTTAGAAACTTTGCATGATTGTACCCTGCAACATTTGTCATGTATTGAATAAGATAATTATTCATGAACAAATGATACAAGGTATTTCAATCCATAGGTAGTTTCCTTTCTATCCTTTCCTTTCCTTTCTTGCATGATTGTACCCTGCAACATTTGTCATGTATTGAACAAGATAATTATTCATGAACAAATAATACAGGGTATTTCAATCCATAGGTATTTTCCTTTCTTCGTTAAGCCGGCGTGGCTTGTTTGAAAATGGTGTGCGCTGTCAGGATCACTAAGGCCGTTTCTTTACGGCATGGTTCTTTTCATCTGCTTTCGCCAACCAGCAAATTAAACTTGCCACCCCTATGTATAAAAATTGTTTTTACTAATCTGTCTCTACTGTGAGGGAACAGGAACCATTGCCATAGGTTCCATATCAGTTTATTTCATTTTTAATTTGATAATTCATCTTTTCCCAGTTTCCTTGTTTAAATGTCTGCTCTCTGGCACTCGTCAAGGAAAAGAAGCTCAGATTAGTCCAACACAAACGAAATAAAAAATTGAACTTTGAAAATTAAAGGTTGTTAATGAAACCTTGTGCATGTCGATCCGGCATGCAAGACATAAATAGGCCATATCTGAATTATCTTTTGCCTCTTTTTCAAAACGAGGTCTGGTGCTCAACCATTCGCATGAAATTGAGTTTAGTTTACAAGTGAATGAAAACTTCTAATCATTTGAAAGGATTAGAACCGGGACTCGCTTTTAAAATGAGGCCAATGGTAATTCGTAAATGGCCTATTAGATATTACTGATGTTTTCCACCGCGGTTACCTTCATCAGACGGCACCTGCTTTACCGTTAACCCTCATAAGCACCTGTCGTGACTTTGGCTTCATTTGAATTTCAAAAAGCTACTAATTACAGCTTTAACTTGTCACTCGACTCCAAAACTTGCTGGGATTTGAAGCTTTTGAACCAGTCAAAAACTGACGAAGAGGGAATTCTGAACTTCTGGTCATTCAAATACACCTTCTGAAAGAAGTGAAGGCGAAGAGATAGCGTATTCTCTGAGAACAATTGAGACGGCAGAGTTTACTAAAAAGAAATATACTCGCCTCAAATTTCAATCAGGGCGATAAATATTGTCGATCGCAATTAAAGGAAAAGAGAACTGAAAACTCTTAAGATCGTCGAGGAAGAGAGTACTGTAATTCAACTGATACAAACAAAAGTTTACCAGCTGATTTCTTGTTTTATTTTGAATTCACAAGGAAAATGGTCGACAGCGTCATCGATGATAACTATTAGAGTAAACAAAAGAGAATAATCAGGAAAACCATGAAGTTAAACAAGCAAAATACTTCTGAACTGGAAAGCGGACAACCACAGGGCTACTACTACAAGGAAATTCAACCGAAAGAAGAAAACGACTTGTCCGAAAAAACAGAAGAAGGAATGGAAAGGGGTTTGACAAGGCATGGATGATGGAGATCTCCGATATGGTTTATGGCTGAATATAATCCTCCTAATAAAAATAATTTTACAAGGACACAAAGAAACTTAAACGAAGAAAGACTAAGAAATATTGAGGAAACTGTGGACGCTCGTATCGAAGAAATGCAAGGACATTTTGATTCGAAATTCAACAATCGCAAACCATTGTCTCTACACCCACCTGTTCCCATGGAAACAGACACCTCACCCAGGTTCCCAAAATTGAAACAAACTGCTCCAGAGGAAACAAAGAAGATTGTGAGGAATTTAGGGGGAATTCGCTTGCAAAGGGAGAAGATAGTCACGGAAAGGCTTTTTCTACACCGACAAGTTTCTGAGACTATAGGCGAGAAAAGCATAAAACTAGCACGTGACAACAACACTCTTCCGGAAGTTGTTTGTAGACGGCGCTTTCGTGAAGAAGAAGACAAGCTTCATTATCTGCCAAGATTAAATCGCCAAGTTTTTTCTGCTCCCTCTTCGCATTTGTCGATCAATTTGAATAAAACTTCTTCGTACGGTCGTGATAGTAAAAGCGACGAGCTTGCGAGCCGTAAAAGTGTACTTTCGTGGAACGCATGTGTAGTTCCAGCAACACTTGTGGACTTTCCAGGGCGCAAGCGATTGCCGTTGATATCGTCACTTAAGAAGTCTAACAAAGGAGTTAAAAACAGTTCGGTAGACAGGGTGTCAAAGCCGCCTAACTACAGAGAGCATAGTGCTCAGATGTTACCCCGATCATCTACAGACAAACCCGTGTCTTCCACGAGACTCTTATATCCTTCACATCACGGATACTGATATGGATCAGTTCTTTCTTTGTATTGTTATTTTGAAAAATGTCTGATCCTTCATTTCCTGGTGTAAAAAGACTTGCAGAAACGTAGAGCTGATACCATGCAAATCTAAATAGGAAGCAGCTTCAGTCTTTTCCAAACTAAAATAACTATCGAGTCCTCTGTAAACAGGAGAAGAGGATCAAGGTGCGAAATGCTAGGTTCTGATGTTCGAAGAGCTATTTTGAGAGAGCTATTCTCAAAATAGAGCTATATCAAGAGCTATTTTGAGAGAGTTTTACTTTGTCCCACCGGCTCCTGACGAAGGAATGTTAAATCATCCTTTACTTGATGACCGAGCCGACCATTTTCCTCTTGACTAATCATTTAACCCAAAGGGTGACTAGCGCTTAATTTCTCCTTACAATATCACCTCTGAATCACACATTAAGGTCACGGGAATTAAGCAAATGATCACCAACTAAAGAAGCTCTTGATTGTTAAACAAATTCTCCTTGTCAGCACCTTGGGAAATATATAGGGAACAGTATGGAGAAAATGCATATTGATCAGTGTTAGGATGTAAAGGGCTAACATAACTACCCTGAGCTGATGTCAGTTGGAAAAATTTAAATTTGTATGATCATTTAATAAAGAAGCAATAATAAACACTTGATTATCAAAAAAGTTGATTCAAACTCGAAATTTAACTCCCCCCCCCCCCCCCTTCACCGTACCGCGCCTTGTTTGCCATTCTTCAAACGGGAAGGAGGAAAGTTTCTCTCCAAGGATGTTTGCATGCCGGCCTCACAGTTTAATGCCCGGCGTTTGCTTTCTCCTGCTGATAGAAAAGCAGCCGTTGTCAAGTTATTAAAATTTACCCCATACGGTGACTGAAAATATTATTGTCTTTATTGCAATATAACGTTGTATCAAACGAAGGATAGCCTGAGTTACGGCAAACAGATCGAGCGGATCGATATCGATCGTAGGTAATATGTAAGTAGGAATGAAATCGCCACTAACTTAACGTTTTCCACGGCAGTGTCTTCGAGTTCGTTTGCCTGTCTCGATTATATCGGAAGTGGGAAAACTCTGAGCAGGTGTCGGCAATCGTTCATCATCATTAGCACACGGTGAATGAAAAGAAGCAAGGTGTTAAAAAAAAAGCTGAAATACGTAATGTAAATCTGTTGGGAATCGCTTTTTTTCAGAAATAGGACCTGTCCTCTGCGGTTGCATTATTATGTCGGCCCATCCGGTAAGATTTGTAAAGAACCACATTGTTCGCAAACACCTCCTTTGATGCATAAGTCGTTGACTGAATGGCAATAGTTGTTCCTGTTCAAGTCAACATGTTGATTTACAGTAGCCGTAGCCGTTCAAGCCACCAGAAAATTAACTTTTGATCCATAAGTGAAACGGTTTTTGACCACGCTTTCGGTCTACAGGCACGTTTTTCTTCGCTTACCTATTAAACTGTTTGCTGACCCACCTGTTATTCTTTGATCGGAAACAAATTTGCTGTAAAAGCCGCAGAAATAGAATAAAGACTGTACACGATTTGTAGTCCAGCCAATTGTTGAGGAAGAACCATTTTCCGCCAAGCAGTGCAGTTTCGTGCACTGTTTTAGTACCATACATTATTCATTTTCTTTTTTTAGTGAGTTCGAAAATAAAATATTTTAAGATAAAAGGCTTTATTCTATATTTGAACATTCGGAAGCTGTGGCTAACTGCGAGCAGTGTTTATCTTATTTTGTTTTTTAAAAAAAGTACCTCGAACCCATTACTTGTAAGAATTATTCAGATAAGTTGACCTAGAGAGGCAGGCATCCGATAGTTTGGAAAACAACCGACAAAGTGAGGTACAAAGGAAGAAAAGGAAAGGCTATATACTCAATTTAATAACACAGAGAGAATTAGCCTGACAGAAAACTTCAGATAGTTAATATAATTTTCTAAGATCATGATCAGAAATTGAAAAGGCAAAGCACTTTCAAAAGCATTTACACGTCGTTTCGATTCGTCAACAATTGTCTAACAACTAATCATGCAAAGTTTGCTTAATCGAGAAATATGTTTTCGCAAAAAGCTAAAGGATGTTTGAAATAAGCTGGAAATTTAGGGTGATAAATTTCCGTTTTAAACTGTAAATATTTTGAACATCAACTGCGATACATTGAAAGGATCCTTATTTAGGATAAGCTAAGCGCTCATAAGGCAAGGGGACAGCTAATGCTCTAAGTGAAATCATAAAATGTAAAAGAGCGGATACCTTTTTCGGTGTACATTAATCTTTTTTTTCTTCATTTCAAATGCAATTGTTTAATTTACACACTGACATTTACCCTCTGAGAAGCCTCGTTAGTCATATTATTGAAAATATAGTTAAATGTTGTCTCGGTTTGACCAATCACATCTCGGTCTTGGCTTTTGACTTGCAAATTATGAGGTTGTTGAACTGATTTTGATGCCCCCAGATCTGCAAAATGGCTTGAAAGATCCGGCCATGATAAGAAGGAAAGCGCCTTTGGTTTAATTGCAGTTTCGAGCCGTTTCGGTTGCAAACTGAAACTTGGCAAGAGGTCCAAAACGCAGAATTTTAATATTTCAAAGTAGAATTGTGGTCATTTTGCGCTGTCGAATCAGAAAACGTGACTTACCGCTGCAAGGAAACAGATTAATATAGGCAAGTCTTCCAGAATGGATTATACAGTAAGTAGATCATCTCTTTCACTGTTATAGACTCATGTTACATACAGAGAGAAAAAACATGTTAAGAGCTGTCTATTTAGCTGGATGGTGTAATATCGTTGTTTTCCATGACAATTTTGTGGTTACTTTTGTCGCTCAGTTCAACGGAAAGGGGTTTGTCCTCTGATCATTTAAACGCTGAATTTTTAGGGTTTTCTATTGACACCTTTGAAGAGGCTGGGGATATTCTGGTCGGTTTATAGGCGCAATTGTTGCCCCCATCTGACGATATCGCATGGCGGAAAGAGAACAGACTCGCTCCCACAGGTCCGCCAAAATGCGTGTCATCTTTTTATTCCACAGCGCTATCAGAATTCTCAATTAATGGCTCAATGATTTATTTTTCCCTAAAAGCTCTACTATTTGTCATATATGGCCTCAAAAAGGGTTTCCTAAATGTCGTTTCTGCTCGGTAAAATCTGCATGCAATTCAATAAACAGAGCTGACTGCACCTTGGATAAACACGTCCAAATTTACTCGCGATCAATGCATGTGAATGCAAATTATAGAGCAAGTTAAATGTTTTAGATGCATTAGGGTTTTCTGGTTCGAAACTGAGAGACTCTCTACCAATTTTTTCCAGTATGGCGTGTTTTCAATTTTTAAAGGCAAATCTATTCTAATACCGTTTACAATAAAATAGAATGATATATGTTTATTTACAAAAGTGATCGCGCTGTCGTCGCTTGGGTTTTTCAACTCTTTCTGCAAGGCTCCTTGAAAAACAATCCAAATTTTGCAAGTTCGTTTTTATTTTCGAGTTGTGTTCCTTTCTAAGTTAACTGAGATGCAATTTAGCGAGAGTATTGACCCTTGAGTAAACCTTGCTCCCCACAGAATTGCAAGAGATGACGAAAATTATGGCGTTTTGCTGTATTTACTGTCAGAAACCATCGCGTATTTTCTTCAGAATCTGAATTGCAAATTTAGGTCAATATTTAAAGTTCCATTTTATTCTTGATAAGTTGGTTGTCCCGGGAAACTAAAATAATCGACTAGAGTTATTTTGGAAGGAGATTACAAAAGAAGTAAACAGCCATATGACACCAGAGATTGATGACGATAGCTCAAGATGATTAAGAAAAAAGTGCATGTAAGGAAAGTTGTATCCAAAAAAAAAACCGAAAGTGGCGCCTGCAGTGTTCTCATTTTGCCGCATTGAATAAGACATTTTAATCAAACCAGCGAAGAGCGTGGTTTGTGTCGCGAATCGCTTATTTTATGGGGGTATTTTGGCAGCTATCTTTGCCTTTGAGCTAAAATTATCGTCATTCTCCTTTATCAGTGTTTCCTTATAAGCCCGCATCACTTTATTTCCCTACGTAACAAATTCTAATTGTCTGTATGAACACCTCACTTGATCTGGGAATAACAAAGTGGAAACAGGTGTATACGTATGGCAAAAGCTTATAAACATCTTTCTGAAAATTCAAAACGTTGATTAGAACAACGTAAGCATTAGAACAAAATAAATTTAAACTCTGTCCATTCACCACTTCTGTAACATTTGTTAACTTGAGATCTTTAAGTATTCTTATCAGTGACGAAGTTTAAAGACCTCTCAAATACGGACATAAAATACATTTGGAGCACCTATCGTAAATACCATTTACTATTATTTGTCTTACAAAGATCAAGAGTAACATTCAGTTGAACTGAAATTTTGTTCAACCCGCCGACAGTCGGTCTTGAAGAAATAAGTTTCTGTAGCTGTGTATTTTAATGTGCTTGCTAGTTTCAAATGTGTAACAACGGTGTCGGTGAAAAACCAGCTTGAAACAGCACAGTACCAACTGTTAAACTGAATTCTCTGAAAAAAATATTTTTCTTCTTTAGAATATCGTAGACTGCACTCGAGTTCTATCAAAAACAAAATATCAGAAGCTGACTCGAACGGAAGAAATAATAGTCAGCAGACCATGACCACTGTGATTCGGGTGTGTATAAAAATCAAGGAGAATTGCCTTTTAAAGGGTCCCCTAGGCGTATCTCGAACTGAACACTATCTGCTGCCGTTTTTTAAGGTTCCCTACGACGCCCAAAGAATATCGACACGAGTTTTAACGGTGAAACAGTGATTTTAGAATTGTATTATAAAGATATTGATGTACATTCCTCGGCTTTCTTCAAACAAAAAATTCCAATCTCTGCATTGTAGATTATTATTTTTGTCAAAGAAAATCATGGTAACGCTATGTGGTATCCGGACGGAGAATTTTGCTAGAGCTCTACCTTGACTTAGTTATTTACTGATATTTCTTACACCGGCATCAGTGATACGCAGCTTGTAAAGGAAATACTAAAAATAGTTCTATCTTTAGAATTAAAAAACAGGATAACTTAATTGAGATTTAATTTGCCTCTTTTTCCGTCACATAACAAATGGCTGTCGATGCAAATGTGTTTGGTATAATTGAAGTTCGATTTCTGTGGTTCCTCGCCAGTTTTTCTCTTATAAAATTATGACAACAAAATTACTACGAGCGCCCTGATTGGTCAAAAACCTGTCTTTTATTGCACCAGCAAACCCATAAGAAATCAAATTATTTTACGTTTATTTTAGAAAAGCAATAGATTACACTTTCTATCATTCTACCGGCGTAATAAACCATTTGGGATACTGGGAGAGAACAAACTTTTCGAGCGTCCTCCCAACATCTACTGCGTGGGTTAATGCGCCATTAGACCGATGAAAGTGCGATCTATTGCTCACGAAACCAGCGCTAGGATTAGTAGGTCTCTCTAATAAAGTAAAGGAGAGTCTTTCTTAGTTGAGAGTAGATTATAATACTTGCTGTCGTTTTTTTTCCCACCTTAACTTTATAATGAAAGGCTTTCACCATCCACCAGAAACTAAAAACAACTGAATAGCTGACTCAAGTGAAAACAATTTTTCGCAGAAATTATTATCCTTTTCGACGGTTCTACATTTTTAAGCCGGCAATTTCCCGCCACTTTTTAAGTTTCCAGCTTTTATTTTTAATTTTTATTAAAATAAAACAGACTGTGAACAATTTACGTGAACGCGAAATGAAGGTTAAGTTTCTTCACATTATGAGATGTTTTTTAAGAACGATAACAATAGGTCCGCAATAGTTGGTGCACTTCGAAGATTTAAATGAGTTTGTAAATCTATCAATAGGGGTTAGTTTGTAAAGAAACTGTGGTGTTGCGTCGGTGGGAGAGTATAACAGGGTAATTTAGTATTATCAACTGAGTTGATAACGTAAAATGGCCACCGTAAAGAGTTTCAAAGCTGACGTTAGCCCTAACGTTCGAAACGTCTGCTTTAAAACTCTTAATGGTGGCCAATTTACGTTATCGACTCAGTTGATAATATCAAATTACCTTGTAAATCTATCCATCGTTTTGCATCGTAATAAAACTGGGAAGGAGGCGACTGTAGAAAGCTGTATTAGCGAGTACGTAACCCATAAATAAAGATGAAAAATTTCGCAAGACTCCACATACCATTGAGCTTCCGAATTTGTTAAGAGGTTATAGATGGCACCACAAAAGACATTGAATAAACTAGCTTGAGATAAAAAGGAATATACTACATCCAATTGGTTGTAGTAATACAGTTAGAGAGTTTTGCCTTCATAACCTGTATTATTGAAGTTGCAATTCAGCATTGAAACATCTTATGTTATATCACTGAAGAAAAAGTTCAAATCAACTTGGTTTGTTTTCTGCAGTGTCTGTAAAACTATCTTTGGTACTAGCAGTAGTGGTTGCGGTAGCCGCGGCCCTAGTCGCCGCGCTGCTGGCTGTGTTGTGCAAATGCTGCTGGGTATGGTGGCGTTACCGCCGAACACATCTCAGGCGCAGCGCCTCTCAAAAGAGTTATGTCATCACTCAAAAGAAACAGTGGCCTGGGGGAGGATTCACTTATCAAACATACGAGAACGGTTCCCTCGCGGACCATGACAGTATGTCCAGCGGCGAAGAGACATACATCGTTGAGACGCCTGGAAAATTTTGCAAACTCCAGTTCTGGCTTGATTTGAATAAAGAAGATGATGTTTTAATCTTAAGACTGGTGCAAGCCAAGGGAATCATTTGCACGAGCAACGTTCAAACAGCTTATATTTACCCTGTCATACAGCTGTACAAGGAAGGGACCAGTTTGGACGAAAGGGAAATTGAAAAACAGAAAATGACTTTTGAACCGCAATGGAATGAAGAAGTTTTGTTTTCGTTGGATGGGCATCCTGTTGAAACACTTTCGTTTTGCATTCGGTTGATCGAATTGGACTCGTTTTCAAACTCTCATCTGATTGGTCAGGTGGACGTATCGCTGGAAGAGGCAGACTTCAAAGGGGGCTCTGGAAAATCACAACCCAAGTGGTACGATATCGCGTGCGACTCGAAGGTACGCTTTCCACCTACCTGATCTCTAAGTAATAATAAGCCGGGAACATAAAGAATATTTTGAGTCAGTGTGGCTTATCTCTTTTTCCTAAATATTTTTCTGAAATACCACATGAAAAAAAAAATCTTTAAGCTTTGTAGTTCGCACTTTATGAGTCACATTTCTTAATTCCTCGATACATTTTTAGTTCTCGAGAAGAGAAAATCTCAGTGCAAGCGGCCAACAAATGTTGAAAGCCTTGAAGATACTTAATCCTCAGTACGGATGACACGCAAACCAAACAAATTGGGCATTCATATGTCTCGTTCATCACATTCCCCGGGTCACTGAAGATGTCCTTACATACTCAACCATTTCAACGTTTTAAGTACAGAATAAAGATATCTCAGTGCAAGGTATTCTTCGATAACTCATTGCCTCTGGTCTTTCTTTACAGAAACCAGCTCACGAGTACGTAGGTGAGCTGCTTGTTTCGTTAAACTACTTCCCTACAACACAACGTCTGACAATTGTGATCCTGAAGGCGCAGAACCTCAAAATAGACTCTACATCCGGACTTTGGGGTAAGTTCTACTCTATAACGCGATTTTTCTCGCTCCGAATGACATCTCAACTGCCGCAACTGAAAATATTCACCAATGTGAAACTTTCATGTATTCTACAGGATAGTTTGGCTCGAGAAAGAATTACCAGCGCAAAGGCACCAAAAAGTGGTCTCTAGTAAAAAGTAAAAAAATCAAAGAAACACAGAAAAAAATGGAAATAATTTATCAAAAAGGAAGGGAGAAAATAAATGAAGGACAAGTAAATCTAGACTAAATTCTTCGAGGCATTAATTTCATTTAATATTTTAATCTTCCTTAACCTTACCTTCAAAAATCACAGCCAAAACATGAAATGAAGTAAAAAAAGATATTCCTTTCACCAAAGAATACGACTACTTTTTTTTTTGCTGTAGGCCCGACAGTCAGAGTGATTCTTATGTTGAACAAAACCAGATTGGGTAAGAAGCGGACCGCCATGCAAAAAAAGACTTTAAATCCAGTTTACAATGAGGCTTTTACATTCAAAGTTACATCAGAGGCCTTACCGAAAGTTACCTTCAAGGTCCTTGTAGTCAACAAACATTCACATGGTGCCGAGCAAACAGTTGGTCACGTGCTGCTGGGTCAGCAGGTGACCGGAAGTGGATTTTCTCATTGGAACCACATGTTAGCCTCGTTGCGGAAGCCCATCGCCATGTGGCATCCCATAATTCCTGGCGCGTGAAGCTGTGCTGCGGACGCGATTTGTGAGTGAAGTATATTTATGCGAGAAGACTAAATTGTAAATATTGACTTAATAGAGAATATTACATATAAGTATTTGAAAGTGCAGGCACTGTAGTACAAAACGGTGAATGGAGCGCTTACAGTGGCTATATTCGTCTGTGGAGACTGAAAGAAACGTTTGAAGCAAGAAAGCTTTTCAATTCTCTCTCGTTTGTGCTAAACTGCAATGAATTAAAGATAACTTCTGTTTTATTTATTTGGGACAAAAAATTTGGCCGTCGAGTCGAAATTTGATAATGCTCCTTTATAAATAGAGTAGTAGAGGCACTCTTAAGGATCAGTGTTAGCTTGTTCTCGTTTTTATTGTAAATGTTGTTGTCCAAATAACTTCAAGCTGGGCTTGATGATACATGAAAATTCGATATACTGGGATAATCATCGTTGAATAAGAAGTTAAGAATTGTAACTTGGGTGAAAGGGTTATCATTCTTGCCTCGCAATTGTAAATGATATATAGTACTATGAAAACGCGAGGAAAGCGATAAAAATATTATGCAGAGAGAGTCCAGGTGCGTGGGTAGTTCAATGTTCGGATACTCCACTTATCACACAGTGAAATGAAGGGATCGTAATCGTTGGGAGAGGTAGTGGTCAATTTTTCAGGCCTTGTATTAAGTCCAAATGCAAAGGATAATGCAAAACAATAAAGACTTGTTTGTCTACCATAGCGTCTCTGGTCTTAAGTCTCTTGTTTAAACTAATCTTGTTCTGATTTTATGCCTACTGTGTTTTTTGCCATGGAAATTTAAAGCAAACTTTGACCAAAAACATCACTTCTGTATGAGATCATAAGAGGTGAGTAATAATAACTCTCCACCCCAACCCACCCCTCCCACCCCCTCCCCCTTCGAGGTGAAAATAAAAACGTCTGAGACTACTTCTTCCTCCAATACGTATCGTAAAATACTTTACAAGGCCTTCAATCCATTTGTCATGCGTATGGGATAAAGAAGAAGCCGAGTCACCGATATTAACGAGCACGAGGAACTCCGAGTGCTGGCAGGAAGCCCTACCGTTCAGCTAGGGGGAACTACTAAAGTGCATGTATAACACGGAATCTTGCATACTGCTGGGAGCCTGGGAGCAAGTATGTCGAAACTTCTAGAGATCAAACATAACAAAATTAACTATCCTCAAAGAGCGAACTGCATTCTGTGATCTGTGATATTTTTAAATTTCGGGTGGAGTTTCGATGTGTATGAATTTTTGTTGGCGATAATTCCATAAATTACACACTTGAAAACAAACTCTAACATTTTATTTTGCATCCCATTTTTCTGGGCAACTTCATCGAGCAGCGTTAAAGAACAAAAAAATCAGCATTCTTACAATTTTAAAGAAGAGAGCGATGAGGTGAAAAGAGGTTTGTAGTGACTACTAATCTGCTCGTTCTCCGGTTTTCTACCAAGAAGGCAGAGTAGAAACGTACCAGTTTCACAATTCATGGCGTGGAAATACAGAATTGCCTTTAAGAATAAAACACCGATAAGGTCAAAATTTCACACCACAACTTCACCTAACTTTGACTGTATTGCCCGTGGATTTTTGTCCATTTTGGGCATCTACTGGCCATCTGAGAATGAAAGGAATTCTCTATCCTGTCCAACTAACATACTCATGATTCTGAGAATTAAAAAAAAGCTAGGTAAAATTAGAAAAAAATGAAAGAGAGCCGCCGTAAGATATATACCTAATCACTTCCGGTATAGAAAAGTTCCTAATTCCATCTAACGGCGATCGTTCAATAATGACTTTTAGAAGAGTCCTGGGCAGAATAATCCTTGAGTGCCTTGATCACATCCCTCCGGCTAAGCGGCATGATCGCGCCGTACGAGATGTCCGTCGGCCATGTAAAGAGTGAATGTAGCATACTAAAATCACCAGAGACGGGGTCAATAAAGTAGAATTCTGCTTTCCGCTGTCCATCTGCACATGTGCTGAAGTCAAGGACGGTGATAGCACCATTGATACATGTCACGTACGGTCGAGTGATTTTCGCTTCTTCGTACATAACAGGATCTAATGTCTCTGTGCCACGCCTTCCGTTTTCCCTGCTACCATCAAGATGCAGAAAGGATCCTTTGTCAGCACGCCCTTTGAGGGTGAAAAGCTTGTTGACTTGGATGTCAATCACCTGCCAATCGTCTGTCACGGGATCGTACACCTCACAGTCATTCGGCGTGACGTCTTCACCTCGCTCTCCTCCAATTACAAAAATCTTTTCATCGTGGACGAAGGCAAACGCACTAGATCGAGGCTGGTGCATGGGCTTCACGTATGACCAGCGGTCTTCCATGGGATCATATCTTTCTACAGTCGTCAAGCATTGCCTGTGCGCCGAACCATCGATACCACCAAACACGAAGAGGTATTCATCTTTGTAGTTCACCGCTGTGAGCTCATATCTTGGTTCGCACATGTCCGCCACCGATGTCCACGTCTGCTTTTCGACGTCGTACCGCTGTACGGTTCGCTTCACCTCTGCAACTTCCTGCATGGACATTCCGCCAATCAGATAGATATCACGACCCATAGTTACAGCAGCGCAATCAAATGTCATGGGTGCGGATGGCTCGATGTCACATGTTGGTGCCACGCCCGAGTTTGGAAAGAAATGTCGCGCAGTTAACGGATTTCGGTGAAAAGCCAGTTTGGGATTGTTCCAAGGCACTTGAACGTACAGTCCAGAATTGGTGTAAATAAGAGGAGTTCCATTAGCCAGCATCGATTTGTTATGAGGGACACGAGCAATAAGAGACCAAGGTCCTGCAAAGGGAAGCCAGTAGCACAGATTGTAGGAATGTGTATAATGCAGCCGGTGTGTTAATCCAAACAACGCGACGTTGTAGAAATGCGCTGCCTTATAAACATCTTCGTCGGAAACGTCGTCTTTTAACTTGTAACCAGAGAGCGACTTCAACTCATCGACGCAATCGTCATTTGTCAGTTTCTTCAGGAAAAGATCTGGAATGCTTCCCATATGAATGAGATTAAGAAGTCTTTTAAAAGATTCTTCCCTCTCCAGCCTAGAATACTTGTACCAGCGAATTAAAGATTCTAACAATTGTGCTTCGCTCGCCAAAATATCGTCGTTTGATAGAAACCACCTCATATCTTGCTCAGGAATGTCAAGAAAAACGTCTGATGATGCAATACTCCAAAAATGATTACACACAAGATTCAATATTTCTTGGTAAATCTCATTGAGACAATCAAAGCTTCTAACGAGAGAATAAACGAGCCAGAAGTTGGACAACGTCGAGGAATCTCTCACAAATTCAATGATCCTTCGTTTTAAGCGCTCTATTAACAAATAATCACTCGCTTGTAATAAATTCCTTGCATTGTCAAAAGTGATTGTAATCTCTCCCTTATAAACAAAATTTAACAATTCGTCGATGACAACCTCATCTATTACAGCTAATTCAACATTACTTTCGTGAACTTCCTTCATTTCAGAGCGAAAAAGCCCCTTAAAATAACAGCTTACAGCTGCTAGAATGTTCTTATGAACAGGAATAACGATGCCACTTCCCGTTGTTAATGTTAGATCACAGAACAATCCCTCGCTTTGGAAGGTTAAAAGTTTGGACAACATAGTGCCCTGATTGTGTGAATTAAACATTTTTCGTTTAGGAGCTTCATCATTCATCGTTTTAACAGAAGCCAAAGCCATATTTTTCTCCAGAGGATCAAGCAAATCTTCTATTCCTAAAACTTTGGTTGCGTGCAGCATCAATGTTACATTGTGTCGATCCAATTTACATTTTCCAGTGTATAAGAAGTTAATAACATTTTCCACGGCACTCGGCTCCAGTTTAGCCAGCTCGTGTAGAACAAAATTAGAATCATCATGTTTAGAAAAGAGTTCGTTAAAGTAATCACAACTTGCAGCCAGTACATTTTTGTGGACTGGAAAATCCTTATCATTCACTTTTAAGGTAAAATCTGTAAAAAGCTTCTCCTTTCTGAAAGTGTTAAGTGTTTCAAGCAGGAAGACTTGATATGGAGCCTTTTCAGGGTCCAAAGGCTCGTCGCTAGTTTCTTCTGTTTCCACTTCCCCTTCATTGTTCTCCTCTTCCCCTGCCAAAGACAGCTCCACTTGGTATGGTTCTACAACTCCTAAAGGATTAGCTTGCTCCTCTGTAGAACTTCCCACACATTTTGCCAACAGACCACCCATTTTGATCACTAGCGTTTTAGGTTAGTACTGACCTGCTTGTCACGCAACACCAATCACACGTACCATAAGTAATGTCACGCCACATCATATACCCAAGACAATATTCCATATTCATTTAGAAGCAGATGAATTCACTTGCCACTGTCATGACCTAGAAGGTGTGAAAGAATATAACCTTAGGCATGCAAGTTCTCAACTGATGTCACCTTGCAGTATTTTGGTACCTGTAGTTTACTATTCCATTAAGTTGCCATCTAATGTAAGTTTAAATTTTTCCCCACAGTGATCTGTAGAGTGGATCCAGACAACACATCCAATGAAAAAGGTTATCACCCTACTGAAGCAGGGATACAACCATTATCAGACAAATCTGACGGCAAACTTTCATACCATGTCAATTTCTAAAATTCACAGGTGGAAAGCTTCTCTTGCAACTAACAGTCAGCCTGGCTGAGAATGAAATTTAGTTTTCTAAACAAAACATCACCAATTATTACAACAACCTGAATTACAATCACAGTCCAAATTGTTAGGAAGATGACCAATTCTTACTTTCTTATATTCTCTCCCCTCCCCCACCCCCCTTGGTCAACATAATGCAAAACAGCATTGTTTGAGTTAACTTTTGATCCTACATGTTCCAACACTGAATGATGGAAAAATATAACAGAGGAGAAACATTATTTCAATTTAATATCAAGAGAAGTTTCATGAATCTCAGCACCAATGGATTTATTCCAATTCTCTTGAAATTCATTGAAGTGAGCTAACAGATTATAGAAATAAAGGAAAACAATGCAATTGCTTATCCTGTAAACTCTTCTTTTGCTTCCTTTTTAACCCTTTAACTCCCACAAGTGACCAAGACAGAATTTCTCCTTACAATATGAATACAATATCAAGCAGGTAGGTGATGGGAATAGAGAAGAATATCAATTATGTGATTATTAGTTGATCCAATACCAAATTCTCTGAACTAACATCATAAGATTTGCATGGCAGATAGTAAGGAGAATTACTAATTAGATCTTGGGAGTGAAAGGGTTAAGAATTATGTATTTTCCAAGAGGTGGAATTCAGAACAGTGTTGATTAAAAAGAAGGTTTCGAGCATTTGCTTCAAGTTGAAATTTATGGATTCAGAATTGTGTTTGGGTGCTTAATTTTGGGTATCTAAGACAATGGCAAGTGGTGGCACTAAGCTGTAAAAAAATAAAGAAATTCAAACAAAATCTGAGATGCAATTTTTGTAGTTCACTTTAAACCCTTTACATCTCACTGGTGACCTAGACAGAATTTCCCTTACACTATCTGTACGATAACAAGAAGACAAGTAATGAGAATAAAGAAAAATATCAATTAGGAGATTATTGGTTGATCAAATTCCAAATTCTCCAAACTAGCATCACATGAATTGTATGGCAGATAGTAAAGAGAATTACTAATGAAATCTTGGGAGTT